GCAAGGTCATGGAGATGATCTTGTCTAACTTCCTCTTTTTTATAGACGGCCTAACTGGATTAAAAGGTCCCTAAGTGGCACAAACACTTTGTACTCAACTACTAACCTAAACGCTGACAGTTTGAAACCATTCAGTAGTACCTTGGAAGAAGGGCCAGAGATCTGCTTCAGTAAATATTAAGGCCAGGAAAATGCTATGGAGCAATTCTACTCTGTAACACATGGAGTTACCATGAGTCAAAATCAACTTGACAGCAACAGGTAGTAGCAGTTGTAAATGAGCTTAAAAACCTTCCGCAAATTAGCTAACTCACACACCAAGTTAGCATCAGTGCTGGGACCAGGGTCTAGAAATCTCCACCTGGACTCTATAATGCCTTTCACTGCACCACAGGGCTTCCAGTGCAAGAGCCACCCAGCCCTCAAGTCCTGGCATGTTTCTGAAGACTGATGAAGAGAATGATTTTGACACATGAGGTAAAAGAGAAGTATTTCCTATCTCCCTGGAGAGCTTTTTAAATAGTTGTGGTCCACAAAACCATTCCCAAAAGGCGGTTTTAAAACATTCAAGAAAGGAACAATACTACTACTGACAGGTTTAAGTAAAGTTTTTAAGTGAACACATCAGTTTTCTAGACATTAGCATGATGTACTGGAAAGTACCCAAGCTTCATCTCTAAGTAGATCTGGGTTCAAATCCAGCATCTGTGGTGTACTGGAGTGGCTATGTGGGTCAGTCTGGAAACGTCCCTGAATGACAGTTTCCACAAATAAATGGGAAGTATCTACTTATCTTGCATCGTAATTGAGGATTAATAATGAAAACCAACAGGAAATGTTTAGAGACATCTCTAATACATAGCCTGTTGCTTAAACATTAGTTTCTATTTTCAAATATATGATAAACGGCTTTTATATGATAAATGAATGTGTACTACTTTACAGTAGTTCTCTTGGGCTCTTTACATAGTAAGCATATTTGGTAGATCTATATTCATTTTATTACATTTTTTAAAAGTGGGCAAGGATTCTTAGCTCAATTTTTTTAGGCTGAGATCTTGGATAAAGGCAAAAAAATGTTAAACCCTAATGAAACGCTATACATTATCTAGTGCAACTTCCCCGCTTCCCCCCACCCCCACCATATAGACAAAAATTCTCCAAGAAGTAAAGTGACTTATCCAATGTCACTCAGTCAATAAGCGGGAGAAATATGGTTTGAATCCAATCTTTTAAGTACAAGTATAGAGCTCCACACTGCCTCAGTTAAATTAACTGGGTCTTTGTTTCCTTATTATAAATAAAAAAAAATGAAGGTGAAAAGAAGAGGAGAGGAGAGGAAAGAAAGGGATGTGCCTACCTCTAAGAGTCCTTCTAGTATAAATATTTTAGGACTTAAATAGAAGAAAAGAACTAACATTTTCCAAGCACCTACCAAGTGCCAAGTACTGTGCTAGACGTTTTGAATAATAATTTTACTCCTGTAAGTCAGTGTTAACCCTATTGCTAATACTTACCTAGAAATGCAAATATAAATTATACTATATTTCCCATGGGAAACTTGAATCATTTTTAAAAACAATCAAAATTATGCCATTAAAATGATAATCAAGAAGACAATTAAGCAACATGAAAGAATTTTATACTATAATGTTAAGTCAAAAACCAGTATACAAAATTGATATATACTGTAATTATAGCTTTGGGGACTAGCCTAAGAGTTTCTTGAGTGCATGTCTTCATCCTCATCTTTATGTGCCTAGTCCAAGAAATATATGTTGAATTAAAGTTCATTAATTCAAAAAGAGAAGAGAAAACAAAACAAAACAAAACATGATACTGTTATCTAGTAAAAAGCCTGAATGGATACACAAACATGATAGTGGCTGCTGCTGGGTCATCACAGTGGGTTATCAACGAATGCTTCTTCTGTTTTTAGTTTTGTATTAAACTAGAGGTATAAAGGAAGACAGCCCATAATTACTGACTCTCAGTTCAATTCACTGAAGGGTTGAAAAAGACTAGGGTACAACATTATCAATTCCATATTTCCTTATAGAAAATATGTCAGTCTTCCTTGACTTTCCAACTGTGGGGAAGATTTAGTCAGAGAAAGTGTGGGGAGCCTACACTTTAATAATATGCTCCTCTCTTCTATCCTGCATTACTGTACATCAGCTACTACTTCTTTTCCAAGAATCACAAGTGTCAATCAGGAGGATACAGTCAGCTGAGAAAAAGTTGTCCTATAGAAAATGGAATGAAGCATTCATTAAAATGGTCACAGTGACAGGTAATGCATGCTTTAACACTTCACCATTTATTTTTAGAATTTTTTAAAAAATTCAAATGTATAAAGCAACCATAGAATGAAAGTGGAGGACAGGAAACGTGAAAACAAAACAGAGCTCTAGCCAAAGCTCCTATGAATCTAGGAAACTATGTCTACTTTTTCTATTAAATATAATAAGATTTTTAAAAATATTAAAAAAAAATGTATTGCATGGAAAATCTCTTTGAATTTTAATAAAAATAATCCAAAACTTGAAACTAAGGCAAAAGGATGATTCCAGGTCCTTTCAATGCCATACTGGAGCACTAACAATCTGACCAAAGATCATCTACTTCTCTAGGGCAGGGTTTCTCAACCTCAACACTATTGAGATTTGGGGCCAGATAAGCTTTAGTTGTGAGAGTCTGTCCTGTGCATTACAGGATGTTTAGCAGCATCTCTGACCTCTACCCCATAGAAGCTAGATGCAAAATTCTCCCTCTCCCCCAGTCAGAACTATCCTTCTAAGGGAATATACCATTGTTTTATTTAGTAGTAAATATTGGTCAGGGCTAACTAGTAACCAGTTGCCACTGAGTCGATTCTGACTCATGGTGACCCCATGTGTGTCCCAGTTGAACTGTGCTCCATAGGGTTTTCAATGACTGATTTTTTTGGAAGTAAATCTCTAGGCCTTGCTTCTGAAGTGCCTCTGGGTGGACTTGAACGTCAACTTTTTGGTTAGTAGCCAAGCGCATTAACCATTTGTACTACCAGGCTTCACTCAACAAATTACTCTTAACTTGTAGACTTTTGTCTTGTAGAGATACAGATGATTTTTATCTGGTAGATAAGATATACTCAAATAACATGATTTTATTGCCCTATGGAGCATTTAGCCAGTTTTGTCTCTAACTTAGCAAACTTATTTGATCATCTCTTTCCCAACTAACTATATAAATCTTTGCTCCTCAAATGTTCTTTGTACCAGATTTACCATTCTGAAGACTTTAATAACCCTTTGACACAGTCTCATTTCACATTTGTATGACTCATGTTTTTAAGATTTTTTAAAACTATACTTTGACAGCAATTTCCATATGCAAAAGAAATATACACACCCATTTTTTCTGCTTAACAAACCATTCCCATAGGCAGAGTTACCTAAGGACTCCTGAGTGTCCCACCATCCATCATCAGTTTTATCCTTATTCCATGAATGATAAGATTGCATGGCTGTAGATTAAGATATAATCTATCTATATTCTATTTAATTAACATTTAAAAATATGATTATTTAATTATACAATCACTTTCTCTATAAAGGATAACAGGAGCCCTGGTGGTACAGTGGTTAAGTGCTCAGCTGCTAACTGAAATGTTGGCAGTTCAAACCCACCAGCTGCTTCATGGGAGAAAGATGTGGAAGTCTGTTTCTGTAAAGATTTACAGCTTTGGGAACACTAAGGGGCAGTTCTAGTCTGTCCTATAGGGTTACTATGAGTTGGAATGGACTCGATGGCAATGGGTTATAAAGGATAACAACAACAACAAAACATCAACTAGTAGTTCAAACAAATGTTGTTTCAATTAAGAATGTTAATCAGAAAACATATGCAATTATTACACAATTTGAAGAATTAACCACTACTCACCACTGCCAACCAACACAAAACACAAATGTATGCAGACAAGCAAGCATGTGGTGCAGAAATAAGGGTCCATGGCTAAACTGCTTCCTGAGGCAGTAATTGAACATTCATAGTGTGGGTCAACAAGAGCTATTAGATTAAGAAATGCCAAACCAAAAAAACCAAACATGTTGCCTTCGAGTCGATTCTGACTCAAAGCAACCCTATAGGACAGAGTAGAACTGCCCCATAGGGTTTCCAAGTCTGAAATATTTATGGAAGCAGATTGCCACATCTTTCTCCATGGAGAGGCTGGTAGGTTTGAACAGCCGAACTTTCAGTAAGCAGCTGAGCACTTAACCACTGCGCCGCCACCAGAGGTCTCTAGATTAAGCAATAAAAGGAACAGAAAACCCAAACCCTTTGCTGTTGAGTCGATTCCAACACATAGCGACCCTACAGTATAGGGTAGAACTGCCCAATAAGGTTTCCAAGGAGGGCTGGTGGATTTGAAATGGTGACCTTTTGGTTAGCAGCTGAGCTCTCGACCACTATGCCACCAAGGCTCCAGAGTAATCAATAAAACCAAAACCAAACTCGTTGTCACTGAGTCAATTCCGATTCATAGCGACCCTGTAAGACAGAGAACTGCCCCATATGGTTTCAAAGGAGCAGCTGTTGGATTCGAACTGGTTAGCAGCCAAGCTCTTAACCACGGTGCCACCAGGTCTCCAGATTAAGCAATAGGATCTTATAAATCTCACAATTTTAAAACTGGAAAAGGAAAGAATTGGTCTTCTTAGTAATGTGTGATTATTGTGTCTTTTCCAGCTCTTGCTAATCTCCTTTATAAAAAAGAGGACAGACCTCTGACCTAGGTAAAGTGTCTGGCTAGGAATTGACAACATAATTTAGATTTCATTGTTGAGGTATTTATTTCCCAATGACCTTTTATTTATGATAAATGATAGTTTTCCATTTCTCTTGTAATAAATTTAAATTTAAAATAAAACTTTTACACATATTAGTATAGGTGGTAGAAGGATATAGCAAAAATTATGAATGTGTTAGGTGAATAATTAAAATTTGGGAAACACTCTGCGAAAGGAAACTGATATTTGAAATGGGACTTGGTTTATAATCGCTTGACCACAGTTATCTTTTTTTTTTTTTAATTGTGGTAAAAATATATCGAACAAAACGTGCCATTTCAACATTTTTTACATGTACAATTCAATGACATTAATTATGTTCATCATGCTGTTCAACCATCACCACTGTTTCCAAATTACTCTGTCACCTGTATCAGAAACTCAGTGCCCACTAATGCAAGTTCTCTTTTTAATGAATTGTTAAGACCACTCTCCTTTTTGAGGGAGTCTTAAAAGCAAGTTTGTGAGGAGAGACTGACAGATTTGAGGTCAGGAAACCATCATTCTAGTCCTGGGCACGTCATTAGCTGGTTGTAAAATCTTGAAGGAGTAAGCCTGCTGAGCTATAGTCTCACTATTTCGGAGACTCAAAATAAGTGATTTATAAGAATCCTTCCAGCTTTAAAGGGCAGAACTACTATTATGATCCACATGGAACTTCCCCTCTTCTATTCTCCTAGTTTTCATAATGGGGGGTTAGCATTTATTTATTTTTAATTCTTTCATGCCTATTAGTTATTTCTTTCCAGTAAGACTATTAGATCCTTGAGGAGAGGAATCATATCAAATCCTATTTTATAACTTGGAGAGTAGTTTGGGCAATGCTGGCCAAATTAAAGAAAACAAAAAACAAAAAACACTGCCATCAAGTCGATTCCAACTCATAGCAACCCTATAGGTCAGAGTAGAACTGTCCCACAAGGTTTCCAAGGAGCACCTGGTGGATTCGAACTGCCGACCAAATAGTAACACTCAATAACCATGTGATCCTTGCTTGATAATTGGCCAGCTTTTAGATTTCAGTAGAAATCTGATGAGTGTGGCATATATTAAAAATAAAGTGACGTCCTTATAAATAGTTTACACTGACTGTTCTCTCTGAGCCATCAATGTTATTATATTTATTTATTTTATGTCTGCTTACTGTGTCCTAGCTTCTTGTTTTGTTTTGTTTTGATATGCCCAAATAGGCTGCTTGTGTGAGCTTGCCCAGTCACTGGTGCCCCTGAAGCTCCATCATTCTGCCACCAGGTGGTCAGACCTGTCACTAAGAGAAGTATGTGAACCCAGGTGTCTGCCCACTCCTCCTGTAAGGATTCAGCCCAGGTGTCCACGTAGTCGGCCACCAAGTGTGTGGTGCAGGCTCTCACCTACAGTCCTAGACAGGCGTGGGTGATTGGTGTAGGCACAGGTATCCGGCTGCCGCAGGGGGTTACAGCCACCCCTGAGTATCCAGGAGGAAAGCGTGTTGCTGTTTCCTAGAGTGCGTAGGTAGGTGGGTTTTGCAGCTGGGCTATGAGCACCCAGTGCTGTTGGCTGTAAGGACTGGGGGGCACCTCTTATTCTTGGGCCCCTATTGCAAGTGGCTAGGTGGCGTGGGTGGAGCCAACAGTTCTCAGGCCCCTGATGTAGGTAGGTGAAGACCCTGCTTAATGGGCAGAGCAGTGTCAAATGTCACAAACTTGCCACTTCAGAGCTGAAACAGTTGAAGTTAGACTTCAGGTATATATCTTGTTTTACTGTGGTAATGAGAGCCTATGCTGTTGAAATGGGCTCACACAAGTCTATGCAGGGGGAAAGGCACTCAAAGTCCGTGGATCCCTTATGCCTGCGCCTAGACAAAGGAGCTGTACCTACCCTGAGTTCCTAGCTTAGGGGAGCTGGCAAATTATTTTTTCCTCTGTTTGTTAATTTGTTCCCTCTCCAAGGCTGGGAGAATGGCTCAGGGCGCTTGATGGGTCCTGCTTCTGGCCCAGGGGACTCGGCGACTGCTGAAGCCATCCTGAACGCAGTGCTGAGCAGGGAGCAGGGAGGTAAATGGGAGAGAGGTTTTTCCCTAAGGGGGGTGTTCTTGATCCTCACGGTAGGCCAGACGCAAATACTTATCTTTCGCCATCGAGGGCTGCTTCTCACTGGTTCTGGATGGCCAAGTAGACTCTGTGCTGCTGGGTCTCTCCCAAAGTGGAAAACACCTCCCGAGCACTGCTGATTGCCTGCCTCACCGCTCATCCCCGAGCTAATCTGGGCTGAAGGGCTCCGGCTCCCTCCAGGTCAGGTCTGGCAACTCCTCGCTACTTCCGAACTGTCTCTCCCTCCCCCTGCCACTCAGTCCAATTCCTCAACTTTGCCTTTGATGTTCAGGCCTCCTTGGTTGTCATATATAATCAATTCACTTGTTTTTTTTGGGTCTTTGTTGTAAGAGGGACCACCAGAAGTGTCTGACTACTCTGCCATCTTGGCCCTGCCTCTCTAAATAGTTTAAAGTATGGAAAATTATCTTAGTTTATTGGATAAAGGCACAGTGATGAAACAAAAACTGTTCTAAACCATATAAATTTAAGTTACCAAACTCATAAGGGAGCTGATAAAGATATACTTGTTGAATTTTTAACCTAGAAGAAATTGTCTAAATGATTTAAAGAACTCTAGACCCATGCTGGAGCCCCAGTGGTGCAGTGGTTAAGAGCTCAGCTGCTAACCAAAAGGTTGGCAGTTTGAATCCACCAGCCACTCCTTGGAAACCCTATGCTTCCCATTATAGTAGTCATTAACAACATGTAGCTATATAAATTTAAAAATTCAAATCTTCAGTTGCACAAACCACATTTCAAGTGCTCTATAGCCATATGAGGAGTTCCTGGGTAGTGCAAACAGTTAAATGTTGGTGATTTGAGTCTACCTAGAGGCACCTTGGAAGAAAAGGCCTGGCAACCTACTTCTGAAATGTCAGCCATTGAAAACTGTATGGAGCACAGTTCTACTCTGACACACATGGGGTTGCCGTGAGTCAGAACTGACTTGATGGCAACTCGTTTGGTGTTTTAGGTTTCTGGGTGGTGTAAACAGTTTGCACTTCGTTACTAATCAAAAGGTTAGTGGTTCAAATCCACCAGTGGTGTCGCAAAAGAAAGCCTGGCAACGTACTTCCATAAGATTACAACCATTGAAAACTCTACGGTGCACAGTTTTATTCTTGAACATATGGGGTTGCAACGAGTTGTAATCACTCGGTATCAGTGGGTTTGGTTTTAAAGCCACAGGTGGCTACTGACTACTTTATTAGACAGCACAGATTCTAGGTCATCTCCATCATCAAAGAAAAATCTATTAGACAGCAATACTCTAGAACATTCAAGAAAAGTTCTACAATTAAGGTAACAATTCAAAGAACACTGAGTTTCTCCATCCTATTTCTAAACAAAGGAAAAGTCTTGGCAAACATGTTTAAGTATCAGAGCAAAATGGGGATGTGTCCTTTATTAATTTTGTGTATTTATAGATTTAACTATCCTAAGTGAAACAAAGGATTACCATTTATAAACAGATAATGCATTACAAATGTGAAAGTCGATTAAGGAAAAACAGAATAAGTCTTCGTTGGAAATGAAGTTATTTCTCTGAATGAGCCCACCAAAATCCATGGCCAGGAGGTACGTAACATATACTTGGCAGAACCTACCTTTTCTGCTTAATTTTCCATGCCAAGGATCCAGGCCTTCAAAATTCTGGTTGAGGAAATAAAAAGTAATTTTTGAAATGGTTTCTCTGGCCTAAGGGACAAGACATATCAGTACCCTAGCTCCTCACAGAAAAGCTAACTTAAAGAGCACAGGAAAAACAAAACAAAACAAAACAAAAATTCACAAAAAAAGTTAAAACAATACAGTCTAGAAAGGACTTATCAGCAAAGATACAATGCATATAACAGAGTGTTCAGTAATATAAAATTATTTGCCTCAGTTTCTTTACTTCTCTTCATTCTACCAGATGGGTTATTTGAAATAACTCCAATCTCCTACACAGAAAAGTGGGATTCTGGCAGAATTCTAACTAGAGATTTTTGGCCCCATAGGCAAGCAGCTGTGAGTAGGTCTGGGGGTGAGAAAAATGGTTGGAAAAAGGGCTGGTAGATGCCAAAGCATAAATGGAAGAGTTCAGCAAAATCCATACTCTTGTCTTTACATGTCCATCCATCTCTGTTAGCCACCAAAGAGCTAACCTAGGACCATGGGCAAGCTGACCACCACAGCTGGAGAGATGGGGAGAAAGGAGGAGAGTTCTGAAGGAGGAAGAGGCTTCAGATTTGTACAATGCTTTAAAATCATTAATAAAACCCAACCTGTTGCCGTCAAATCGATTCCAACTCATAGGGACTGTACAAGACAAACTAGAACTACCCCATAGGGTTTCCAAGGAGAGGTGTCAAATTATTAGCTGTCAACCTGATTCTCATCATTTAGAAAGTTCTAAAATAATCTATTTGCACCAGGAATGTAATATAGTCGTGAATTTTATCTATGTTTCATAGTTTTCTGTCTGTAATAAAGCCAGGTTGCCCTGATGTTTTCATTCTAGAAGGCATGTACTAACATAAATGGCATTCCCTCATAACCGTAGGTGTTCTCACAGCCTCTGAAACCAAGTATGGGTCGCCTTCTTGTTCTGCACCAGGTCTCACCCACGCTTGATTTCACGGGCCACGGGACATGTCAGGCAGTCAATAGGGGTCTGAATCTAAGTCAGGAGGGGAAGGTAAAAGAAAAAAGCAAGAAGGAGATACAGTCAAATCATTGGTTAAATAACATCTTATGAAAGAGCAGGTAACCATAGCTTAGAGGAAGACATACCTGTTACAAATTTCCATTCAGATTATCTGTACTGTCTCAAAGATAATTTGTAGTGACAGGTAAACATTAAACAACTCTTCTGAAATTTATTTTGTATACATTTCTTTACTGCCTATTTTCTATCATCTGGAAAATGCAACTACACAGTCTCATCCAATGTATTTTATACCAATCATTCTGGACTTAGATGTCTAACTTTCTCCATCATCAAATTGTATTTACAAACCATGCAATTCCATACAGTCTTTCTAATGTTGATGTATATTCTATTTATATATTTTATAAAAAATTCTTGACAAATATAATAACTGAGCAGAAACTGTAACTTGCCTAGGGCTCCATCCTCCCCTCCTCACTGCTGTCCTCCACAACACTCAGTCTGTATGCAGATCAGTCCCATCAGCCTCTGCTTTCTGCTTTGGCCCCCTAATATTATTTCCAAGAAAGTTTTATACAGACTGTTTTAAGAGCAGGTGGCCTCTATACAGAAAGACAGAACTTTAATATAATCTCCCCTACCCACATAAAAGACACTACAGGGAGCTGTCAGTATGTGAAAAGTAGTCCGTCACGTAATCTTTATTAAACACAGCACACATCTCACCTCAACAGACTGGTAATCATAACCAGAAAAGGCCAGTTGTTGCAGATTACTTCAGATTTAGCCTTAGGATGAAAGGAGTAATTTTTTTTTTTTTTCCTTTCTTAATCCTGAGCCTTAACATAGAGTGTTTTCCTTAGATGGAATTTTTAATCTCGATACTGATTTTTCGATCCCCGAGGCTTGGGCAGAAGTAAACATGCAGAGGTGTTTCCATTGAACCGTTTTTCTGGATCTTGTCAAATAAATCAACTTTTATAACTGTAACTCCAAAGATTTCATGTCATCTTAAATCTTTGGATGCCTGAGCATATTTTTTACTCTACTAGTAATTACTTTTTAAAGGAAAAAAGAAAAATACTACCTACTCGATGGTTTTGCCCAGACTGACACATTAATCCTTCACTCCAGGTCCAGTATCAGATAACTCTTCCCCACTCACCATCAGGTCTTGATTTGGAACGACAGGGTTGAGCCATCCAGTCACTGTTGTAATCGGCTACTTTTGAGGGTCAATGATCAGTCCCATTATTTCAGGCTTTTGTGAGTGGCTCTGATATGAACACTTACTCTGTTCACTATGGAAAGTATTAGTAAGGAAGGAGCTTTGCTAGCAAAAAAGCAAAATTGCAGTGGCATCAACATACAAGCTACATTTCTATCCATTCCAAATTACTCTAGAGTCTTGTAAATTCCCCACTAATAGTGCTCTCTTATATAAACCATTGCAACTGGGCAAACCGTTTGCATACAATCAGGTGTGTTTTTCCATTTCCTGAGGGTAATATATTTAAGAATGATTAAAAGAAGGTAGCATAGCCTCTTGCTCCCTTGGAAAGCCTCATC